ATATATATATATATATATATATATATATATATATATATATATATATAAGTTTCTTTGGATTCATAAGTTTCTTTAGATGATCCGCTGCACTTGCGAGCGCAGAGCGCGACTGTGCGTGCCCTCACGGCAAAACGCCGAACTAATATTCGGTCTTAGAATAAATTTGCTGCTTTACAAACTTTTATCATTTTGACTTGTTTAATAAATAAATAAATAAATTTATTTATTTATTTAATTTTTTTTTTTTTTTAAGAATAAATTACTTCCGTTACATTCCCCCCTTACTTACTAAAAAAAAAAGAAAAAAAAATTAAATGTTGTTGTTAGAACCCATCATCGTGATTCCGTTCTGTTTAGTCGTTTCCCATGGCGGTTTCAACTCTAACTTAAATCTCAGTTTTCCCAAGATGTCCATCCCCAATATCATTGGTTTGGTAATGGTTGGGATCACGCCGAATTGACACCAACTTTTTCTGCTTGCTACTTCAACCACGCACGTAATGTCTGCTACTATTGGTAGCTTTGTGCCGTCCGCTTGAGTTGCCTGGCTGGTTTTTGGCTGAATCGGTGTCTACTTTGCTGTCCTGGATTCGTTCCCAAGCTTCTTGATTGATGCACGACCTAGTTGCACCTGTGTCAATGAGAGCAATGATTTGTATATCATTGAATTTCACATGGGTATATAATCGGTCGTCATCTCCTTGGAAATAGACATGGATGTTGTCTGTGTCCTTTATTGGTGAGTCTGATTGCTTGCTGCTGTGGTCGTCATCGTTGCCGGAGATGATATTTTTGCTCATTAACTGGTCAATCACTTCTTGCTGCTGGGATTGGTTCGGCTTCACTACCCCCTTACCGATTCTTTTCTTGTATTCCGGCCTTGGGCAATTACAATCCCTGGTCCGGATGTTCTGTTTACCACATCGGGTGCAAAATTTCTTCCAAACATTTTTGCATTCATATCGGAAGTGTCCTCTTTGACCACATCGCCAGCAACATTCTTCTGGAATATAGGTTTCCTCGATCGTGTTGATACTATGTTCAGTTGTAGCTCTCTTCTTCTGCAACGGTTGATGTACAACATCTGGGGTTAGTGTATTCTGAGGTGCTGATGGTGCTTTGTACGTCTTCTCTTGAGCCAGTACCCTCTCGTAGTCGTTGGTGAGTCGGATTAGATCTTGTATATCAAAAACATCTGATCTTCTTATGTAGTGTTGGTAATCAGGTTTCAAATTATAATATAGTCTGTCCGATTGACTATATTGGCTCATCATCCCGTAACGCCTCATCATAGTCTGTAAAGCTGTAATGTAATCTCGTGCTTTTTCTTTTGGGCCTTGTGTACGATGTTTGATTTCCTCTTCCCACCTGATGTTTATGTCAACTGGAAGATAAAGTCTTTTGATTCTGTCAACAAAATGATCCCAAATCGCCCAATGTGTTCTGTTGTTTCGGTACCAGAAGATAGCGTTGTCTTTTAAAAGAATGAGTATGCAATCAAGCAGCTGATTCTTGGTAATCTGATAACTTATTTTCATTTCTTCGATTCTCTCGAGGAAAGTAATAAGATCATTGTTACCATCGAAAAAGATTCCCCAACATTTTACTTGGTCCCTGACATTGATTTCCTGTAATACATAATTTGGTCTTAATGTTGACTGCTGGAATTGTGGTTGGACATTGGTTGGTCGATGACCATGCGTCGCTTGGGCTCTAAATTGTTCTATTTGTTGACGTAACTCATCGATTTGTTTCAGTAACTCCTGATTTGCAAATTCGCGGGCCTGTTCTCGTTCATGACGAATTTCTGCCTCTGCTTGTCTGAGCCGTTCAGTTTCTTCTAAAGCTAATGTTTGCTGCCTCTCTGCTTCAGCTTGTCTCATTTCCTCAGCTTCTCTCGCAGCTTGTGTTTGCTGTCTTTCTGCATCTACTTGTCTATTTCTGAAAATGAGTAACTCGGCTTCTAAATCTTGCATTCGTTGCCTTTCGGTGGCACGTTGCTCTTGCTCACGGTGGAGCATTGCTCGAATTTCTTCATAGGCGCGTTGCAGAGCTTGGTCTGGTCTCGCTGGTGAATGTTCTCTTAGAGTAGAAGATGACAAGTTCAAGTTGATGCGACTGTTGTGGTTTGATGAGCTTCTACTGGTTCGTGGTACTATGAATACTGGTGGTGTGTTTTCATCATGCTGAGATACCTGTGACATTGCTTGGCTGGAGTTGAGGCTTTCTTGTTCTCCCTCGTTTCTTAGAGCCAATCTCAATAGTCTTCTTAATACATACATACATACAGACATACAAACACCATCGCGGAAATAGTCAGGGAAGCTTCCTAAGACCTCAAAATGTCGAGATCTAATGAAAACTCGATTTTCGAAAAACGGGGTAAAAACAATAACCTCCTGATTTTTGAAAATTTTTAAGTTTCTTAGCGGGAAGTTAGAAATATTTTATGTAACACTCATTAAAATTATTATTTTATTAAATGTTAGATTATGCCAACTTTGGCAGAGAAGTGGGCACGGATTGCTGCTACCTTGCGTCTGCCCCAAGAAATGTTTACCCTTCATGAAACCTACGTCAGATGTAATCATTGTGACACGCCCCTGCGGTCTATAAGAACCAAAGATATAGCTCGTCATATCGAAACTGCTAGACATCAGTACAATGCTGGACTTCAAGAAAATGTTGCAGTGCCAAGTCAAGATGCAGAAGATGCATGTACTCTGCGCACTAGCACATTTTATTATGATTTAGCGGAAGCTTTGCTTGCTGCTAATATTCCTCCTGAAAAATTAAACAATCGCACCTTTTGTCAGTTCTTAGGGAATTATACAAGGAAAAAAATTCCAGATGCATCAACGTTAAGAAAAACGTATCTTGATGTTATCCACGAAGTCAAGTTAACGAAAATTCGCGAAGAAATCGGTGAAAATTTTATTTATTTGATTGTCGATGAAACCACGGATCATCTTGGACGGCTTATAACTCATGCCATCGTTGGATCACTCTTGAACAACGAAGCTAGTATACCTCACCTGATTCACTGCTCAGAAGTTCAAATTGCTAACGCCGAGAGCATTGTTCATTTCATCGATGATGCTTTGCTAGTGTTATGGCCAGAAGGAATTCATAAAGATCGAGTTTTACTTTATATTTCGGATGCTGCACCATACATGGTAGCTTCTGCTCGATTGTTGAAAGAAGGTGAAGAATACGAGAAACTTGTTCATGTAACGTGCCTTGCTCATGCATTTCACCGAGTTGCTGAGACAGTCAGATCGACTTACGCTGATGTTAATGACATTATATCCTTCACTAAAGCAGTGTTCTTAAAAGCTCCTCGTCGCGTTGATCTTTTTCATTTGCTAGCACCAGGTGTACCGCTTCCTCCAGAACCGATTGTTACGAGGTGGGGAGAGTGGTTGAAAGCTGCGTCGTACTACAATGATCATTTTGATGACATTCTACCTGTTATCGAAGCCTTGGTTCCAGATGCTCGAAAAGTCTGCCACGCACAATCTTTATGGCGAAAACCTGGACTTCGAAGGCAATTTAGGTTTATCCATGAAAAATTCAGCGTTATTAGTGACGCTATTCAGAATCTGGAGACAAGAGGACTTGCGTTACATGAGTCTCTAAACATTGTTGTGACTGCTTCTTCGGCAATAATCCGGGATAGAGCTATTCCAGAAATAATTCGAGAGAAGCTTATCAAAGTTCTTGCAAAAAATAAGGGGTTTTCACGGACACTTATGAATGTTTTTCAACGGCTTGAAGGAGATGAAGACGCTGTATTACCAGCATTATGGACCAGAGAAAACGTTGCGGCTATGGCGTATGCACCAATCACTTCCTGTGATGTGGAGCGGTCGTTTTCAACTTTGAAAAATATTGACCAAAAGAATCGCAGTGCGTTTTTGGTCAAAAATTTGGCAAAAACTGTGCTGATAAATTATAATCAAGCATAACTTGCTTGTAGATTATCATATATATAGCATAATTGCGTATTATGCGGACTAACATCTACGTTGATATAATATGTTGTTACTAGTCATGTTCATGTCGCTTATTTACCTTGTTTAAACAAAAAAATTAATTAATTGGATTATAAAAATCATTTTGAAAAAATCTATCGTCTTATTCTAATTACAGAAATTCTTTTTAAGGAAATTTCTATTGGCTTTAATATAGCTTGAATTATTGTCCCAGTGCTCTAAGATAATATCCCATTTTTAACTGTTGAAAGTGGTCTTTATATGTCACTTGTGATCACGATCACAGTCATGCTCGTGATCTCGCTCCGGTCGTGCTCTTGATTGCGCTCGTGATCGTGCTTATGATCACGCTGGAGGTCGTGCTGGTGATGGCGCTCGTGATCGTGCTGACAATCGTGCTAGTAATCGCGCTCGTGATCACGCTTGTGATCGTGCTCGTAATCGTGCTCATAATCGCGCTCGTGATCACGCTCGTAATCATGCTCATAATCGCGCTCGTGCTCGCACTGTGATCGTGCTCATGATCACGCTGGCGGTCGTGCTCGTGATCGCGCTCGTAATCGTGCTCATAATCGCACTCGTGATCATGCTCATAATCGCGCTCGTGATCGTGCTCATGATCACGCTAGCGGTCGTGCTCGTGATCGCGCTAGCAGTCTTGCTCATGATCACGCTCGTAATCGCGCTTGCGGTCGTACTCATGATCGCGCTGGCAATCGTGCTATTAATCACGCTCGTGATGGCGCTTGTGATCGTGCTCACGATCGTGCTCACGATCGTGCTCACGATCGTGCTCACGATCGTGCTCACGATCGTGCTCACGATCGTGCTCACGATCGTGCTCACGATCGTGCTCACGATCGTGCTCACGATCGTGCTCACGATCGTGCTCACGATCGTGCTCACGATCGTGCTCACGATCGTGCTCACGATCGTGCTCACGATCGTGCTCACGATCGTGCTCACGATCGTGCTCACGATCGTGCTCACGATCGTGCTCACGATCGTGCTCACGATCGTGCTCACGATCGTGCTCACGATCGTGCTCACGATCGTGCTCACGATCGTGCTCACGATCGTGCTCACGATCGTGCTCACGATCGTGCTCACGATCGTGCTCACGATCGTGCTCACGATCGTGCTCACGATCGTGCTCACGATCGTGCTCACGATCGTGCTCACGATCGTGCTCACGATCGTGCTCACGATCGTGCTCACGATCGTGCTCACGATCGTGCTCACGATCGTGCTCACGATCGTGCTCACGATCGTGCTCACGATCGTGCTCACGATCGTGCTCACGATCGTGCTCAGTGATCACGCTTGTGATCGTGCTCATTATCGCACTCGGGATTGCGCTGGTGATCACGCTTGTGATCGTGCTCATTATCGCACTCGGGATTGCGCTGGTGATCACGCTTGTGATCGTGCTCATTATCGCACTCGGGATTGCGCTGGTGATCACGCTTGTGATCGTGCTCATTATCGCACTCGGGATTGCGATCATGATCGCACTGGCGGTCGTGCTCATTATCGCGCTCGTGATCGCGCTAGTGATCGTGCTAGTGATTGCGCTCGTGATCATGCTCATGATCACGCGGGCGGTCGTGCTCATAATCGTGCTGGCAGTCGTGCTTATGATCACGCTCGTAATCGTGCTCATAATCGCGCTGGCGATCGTCCTCATGATCGCGCTGGCAATCGTGCTATTGATCGCGCTTACGATTACGCTTGTGATCGTACTCACGATGGCGCTCATTATCGCACTCGGGATTGCGATCATGATCGCACTGGCGGTCGTGCTCATTATCGCGCTCGTGATCGCGCTAGTGATCGTGCTAGTGATTGCGCTCGTGATCATGCTCATGATCACGCGGGCGGTCGTGCTCATAATCGTGCTGGCAGTCGTGCTTATGATCACGCTCGTAATCGTGCTCATAATCGCGCTGGCGATCGTCCTCATGATCGCGCTGGCAATCGTGCTATTAATTGCGCTCGTGATCACGCTTGTGATCGTACTCATTATCGCACTCGGGATTGCGCTCGTGATCACGCTTGTGATCGTGCTCATTATCGCACTCGGGATTGCGCTCGTGATTTCACTCGTGATCGCGCTCGTGGTCGCACTCGTAATTGTGCTCATGATCGCGCTCGTTATCGCGCTAGTAATAGCGCTGATTGCAGAAGATTTGCTTGATAAAAAGTTTCTTAAACAAAATAAAATTTGTTTTATGACTTAAGATGGACGGTGGAGTTCATAAGAAGGTCCACCTGCAACAAACATGGAATGTGAGTGTATTTGATACATGTTTGTTGCCAATATGATATTTTTCTGTTTTTTAAGAACTGAAGTTTCAGAAAAACACCTGATTGCAGAAGATTTGCTTCATAAAAAGTTTCTTAAACAAAATAAAATTTTGCTTAATAAACGCGCTCGTGATTTCACTCGTGATTGTGCTCGTGATCGCGCTGGCGGTTAATTTAAGAAATGAGTGAAATTTTTCAAATTTTTTATTAAATTTTTTAGCTGACAATTAGATTGCTTGGCAAATCAATAAAAATTATAGAGAAAAATAATTGCAGTGAAAAAGTATTGAGATGACTCTTTCCTCTGTTTAGCCTGGACAAGTTACGCGGCATTTTCAATCAGAACGAAGAAAATTACTAAAAATTTTAAATATTTCATCGAATTATTTAGATGACAATCGAATCCCTTGGCGAATTAATGAGAATCTTACCTTAGTCTAGCCTAGACAAAATTACGCGGCATCATTGATCAGAACTATGAAAATTACAAAAATATTTTCATTTTTCATCAAATCGTTGAGTTCCCAATTAAATTGCTCGATGGATTAATGATAATTATAACGAAAAATAAAAGCGACAAAAAAGTATTGAGATATTTCTCACCTTTGTCTAGTCTAGACGAAGTGACGCAGCATCTTTGACCAAAATTGAAGAAATGAGTAAAATTTTTCGAATTTTTTATTAAATTTTCTAGCTGGCAATTAAATTGCTTGGCGAATTGATAAGAATTATACAGAAAAATAATTGCAACAAAAAAGTACTGAGATGTTTCTTACCTCAGTCTAGCCTAGACAATAAAATATCAATTATTTGATTACCAGGCAAACTAATCTCTCGAAATATACCAGTAGAGTCAAATTGAGGATTTTTCTGAACGATCTCAATGAAGTTGACTATATCAG